TAAAGTGTGGACTGGGAGTGTTTGAAATAGACTTTAGAAGCACTTCCTCTTGAGGATCCAGGTGCAGTAGCAGCAGCAGCAGCAGCAGCAGCAGCAGCAGCAGTAGTAGTAGTAGTAGTAGTAGTAGTAGTAGTAGTAGTAGTAGTAGTAGCAGTAGTAGCAGCAGCAGCAGCAGCAGTGGTAGTAGTAGTAGTAGTAGTAGCAGTAGCAGTAGCAGCAGTAGTAGCAGCAGCAGCAGGTGATGATGAGGAGGAGCGGTGGAGACTGCTCCCTGGACAGATCTGTGGTGGAGGTATGAAGCTGTGTTTTACTGCATTTAGTTCAACATCTCCACACTCTCTGCTCCTTATGGTCACCTCTCTGCTCCTTATGGTCACCTCTCTGCTCCTTATGGTCACCTCTCTGCTCCTTATGGTCTCTGCTTCTTATGGTCACCGCTCTCTGCTCCTATCATTTTGGCTCCATGTGGTTATTTAAATGTAGCTCCGCCCCCTCTTGTCTCAGCCCTGTAACAGTATGATGTCATTGTACCACTGTGACATCACTATGACATCACACTCAGTTATCCTCCTACATAAACAAAGTGCTGCACATGAATTAGTTTTGTTGATTTCTCAGGTGAAAAACCATCACATGTGTGTGTCTGCTGCTCCCTCTGGTGGTAGCACGGGTAGTTACAGGGAGCTCTGACGGCAGACGCTTCTCCCTCTGATCCCTGTGCGGACATAAACATAAACATCAGAGATACAAATGTTGTTCCAGTTTCTGTGACCTTTAAGTGTTTCATACAGAGGAAGCCCCGCCCCCAACCGCCATCTCACATAACACTCAGACACACACGAACACACACACACACACATACACAACATGCACACACCCTCTCAAACACACACACACACACACACAGAATCTCAAACACAAACACGCACACACTCCTTCCCCTGCTCCTCTTCCTCCTCCTCTTCCTCCTCTTCCTCCTCTTCCTCACATCTCTTTGTACCGAGGCTGATACTGTGTGTTTTTCGCTCTGCTCTTGTTGAGACGGACTTTGAGCTGGACTTTGAGCTGGACTCTTGGAGGACTGGACCCAGGAGCCGTGAGGAGCAGACGGGTAGAGACAGCAGCGAGGAGGTGCTGAGGGAGGAGGTGCTAGCAGGAAAACTGTTGAATATGTTTTACTGCAGTGAGGTTTTAGATGTGAGGGTTAGGGTGCAATCAGAAGGTATGTGCAATATGAGGGTCAGGGTCTGTGCAATATGAAGGTATGTGCAATATGAGGGTTAGGGTCTGTATAGATTCACTTTTCCTTCTGTGGTTTCTTTGTATCAACATAAATCAGATCCATAACCTGTGGCTGTCGTAGTTGTTGTTGATAAAACCCAAAATCTCCCTCTCCTGGGACTTTGGGAAACTGCTGACTTAACAAAAGCAAATTAGAAAATCTTCAGATGAACCTCTGGCCTTTTGCCTCGGCTCAGAGTTTGTTATGACGCGGTTCTCACTCGCTCGTCAAAAGTTCCACAGGATTCAATATTTAAGAGGAAGAAGAACCACAGTTTGAGAAACATCACCATGAGAGAAACAGTGATACAGAGCAGTCTGGAGTGGTAGCCTCAGACGGTTCCCCCTGTCCTCTCCCCCCTCCTCCCATATCCCTCCCCCCTCGTCCCCTGTCCGTCTGTGGGACCATGGTCCTGTCGTTGCGGCTGCAGCTGCAGAAGGTCTTTGCCCCCCGCTGCTGTTGCTGTCACCTTGGCCCTATGCCCCGCCCACACGCCCTCACGTTGGCCTCGCACCGCCACGCCTGGGACCGGGAACTGCCACACCTGCCCCAGGAGCCAGAGGTGAATCTGGAGAGACTGGAACAGACAAAACTTTATTAGAACTGTCCATTGGTTGTAGTTCACTGACAGTAAATACAACACAACACAGGCTGCTGTAGGAGAAATATGGGTAAGATATGGCCTAGATAGGAGAGGGTGAGGAGGCAGAGATGGGGAGGAGGAGGGTTGCTGCATGCATGAAAGCTGCTTGAAGCTCAATCCAGGTGATGCTTGATGGCTGCGAGGTGAGGGCAGTGTGGAGCTGCAGGACTGAAACAGGTCTGGACTGAAACAGGACTGGACTGAAACAGGACTGGACTGAAACAGGACTGGACTGAAACAGGTCTGGACTGAAACAGGACTGGACTGAAACAGGACTGGACTGAAACAGGACTGGACTGAAACAGGTCTGGACTGAAACTGGACTGGACTGAAACAGGTCTGGACTGAAACTGGACTGGACTGAAACAGGTCTGGACCAGAGACTGAGGCTCAGTGCTGGAGACTGGACTGAGCTTCATATAATGAGCTTTAAAGGTCCTATATCACGATTTTCTTCATGTTTCACACTCAATCCTATGCACATGTGTGATATTAATGTGTGTGATACACCACACAACAATCAAAGCTTGTGAGATTAGAGCCATCTCTTGTGCAGAGGTGACGTCACCACAACTCAAACGAGCTGATCCAGAAGAGACTCTGCTCCTCTGACTGTGAGCCCGCCTCCCCCCGCCCGACGAAGCATCACGCTCTTGTCGTTTATCACTGGTACATAGTCATTTCATACATAAGAATAAACTTTTTCCAATGACAATCAGTCACATCGAGCCCTATGTCCTCAATTCACAATCACACCCTGATTATTTAGTTTAAAGAAGTATACGGCGAGTTAGCGTCACTTTACTCACAGATCGGGGGGTCCGTGTTACGTCTTTCACCGTGGGAATAACGTGTTTCCAGATCAGCTTTTGAGTAAGTCCAGTTCCATTGTCCCTGTAGTTCTGGAACAGTCTCAGTGAAGTGTCGCAGACGAACCGGTTTATAATAGATCCATGAGATGAACAGATGAAAAAAGTCGAGCCGCTTTCTTCCTCCTAGGGCCAAATAGTGCGTCACATATTTACACCCAAAACACATTTCATTCAAGTTGACGTGATCCTAACACTTTTAGCCGCTGACAAAAGCAGAAAAACAGCAGCTCTATGTGGTGTCCGGGGACCAAGCCACAGACGCTGGACTCTGGAGCCGGAGCCTGTGCGCTCTGATTCGCTGTTTTGATTCGTCAATCACCTCCGCCAGCTTTTAATTTATTTTTATTTTTATTATTTTTGAAAACAAACAGCATACTAATTGTGTATTGTTTACCCCGTTTTGACGAAAGTATTTAAAAACTATTTTAAATACAAAGCAAACGGGGTCATGCGCGTCATGCGCGTCATCAGTGTGGTTTTCGTCACTGAAGTGGACCCGAGCGTTTCTGTGCCTCTCGAGGCTGAAGGAGACAGATTGCTCTCTTACTAATCATTGACAGAATCAAGGAATAAACTACTCTGGGCATGTGTATGAAGGCCAAATAGCACTGTAATCATGTTTAAAGCAGAGAAAAGTCAAAAACCGTGATATGGGCCCTTTAAGATGATGTAGAACATGCCATGTTAGTCCAGACTCTGTGTGTCTCTGATGCAGGAGTCTGAGGTGATCTCGCTCTCTCTGTGCACAACTGTGTAACGTCCTCAGAGACGACTGCTGCTGCTGTGGTTTAGGGCGAGACACGAACACATCGGATTGAACTGTTTTAGAGACAGTTTTGAAGGTTTTTGCACTACATCAACCGCTCACATCTCTATTCTTCTCTGATTAGAAGCAGAGCAGAGGATAGTTTTTAGAAGCAGAGCAGAGGATAGCAGTAGGGCTGGTGCTCGGTGCAGCTGTCACCTCTCGTCGGCTCAGATCCCAACACTGTTCCAGAGAAACGCTGATAACAGCTGCTGACCAATCACAGGAGAGCAACCAGGAAGTAGAGTTCAGACCTGTTAGAAATTAAGATCCTTATTTGTTCCACTGCAGGGAAATGATACAGTATGTAGGAAAGATATCATCTCCTCTGCTTCTAAAAGCTATCATCTCCTCTGCTTCTAAAAGCTATCATCTCCTCTGCTTCTAAAAGCTATCATCTCCTCTGCTTCTAAAAGCTATCATCTCCTCTGCTTCTAAAAGCTATCATCTCCTCTGCTTCTAAAAGATATCATCTCCTCTGCTTCTAAAAGATATCATCTCCTCTGCCTCTAAAAGATATCATCTCCTCTGCTTCTAAAATATATCATCTCCTCTGCTTCTAAAAGATATCATCTCCTCTGCTTCTAAAAGATATCATCTCCTCTGCCTCTAAAAGCTATCATCTCCTCTGCTTCTAAAAAATATCATCTCCTCTGCTTCTAAAAGCTATCATCTCCTCTGCTTCTAGCTATCATCTCCTCTGCTTCTAAAAGCTATCATCTCCTCTGCTTCTAAAAGCTATCGTCTCCTCTGCTTCTAAAAGCTATCATCTCCTCTGCTTCTAGCTATCGTCTCCTCTGCTTCTAAAAGCTACACAGTAAAATCGCTAGAGTAAAATTTACTCAAATTGAGGAAAATTTAACTCCATTTTTGATAACATTTGGTCCCTCTCTAAAAAGAGTCAAATTAACTCTTTTGATAGAGTCGTTTAATCGGAGTAATTTCTCTTCAATTTAGAGTAAAAATTCTACTCTTTAATAGTAAAATTCACTCTCTGCAGAGAACATTTAAATTGACTCTTACTCTAGTTTTACTCTTGCGAGAGGAACTATAAATTTACTCCATGGTATTTTACTCCCTAAAAAGAGTTAACATTCCTCAATTCTGAGTAATTGTTTAATAGTACATTTCACTCTATATAGAGTAAATTTCAATTGACTCTCACTCTATTTTGTACTCTTACTTGAGGAACTATATATTTACTCCATAGTAATTTACTCCCTAAAAAGAACTCAATTTTGAGTGATAGTTTCTCCACAAGCTCCTAAAAATGTGAAATATGACAAAAAGATCAAACATTTTTTCACATACCCTTTTATTTGGCACCAAATACTTGCTCAATAGAAAATTCTCATTCCATTTGTGAACATGCACACTGTTGACACAGAAATCCAAATATTAGGGTTGATGCCTTTCTGTGATTCCGTGCAGATGATCTTGAATGCTGGTCCCAGTCTAGAAAATTAACAAGCATACGTTAATAATGAAGCCCTTCCAAAAAGTTAGAAAAAGCGAGGTGACCTTACCTTGAGAAACAGTGAGATGGTCACAGACATGTCTGGTGACGTAGAAGAAGAAGACATGTCATTGCCCCAGCCTGAAAAAGATCAAACGGAAGTCATCTACTGTGTTTGTGACACGATCCATTTTCACCAATATAAAAAAACTCACCTTCAACTTTAGAGGTGGACTCAGCTTTAATTCTTGATTGCAGACAATTGGCTAATTTTGTTGAAGTAGCATCATCAAGCATACTGTAAGTCTGAAGTCCTGCTCTATCTGTTTTATAACGAAAGACATAATGAAATGTTGATACAACATTAACAATATCAATATTTAAGGTGACTTACCAGTCCTGATATATCCAGAAATCTTGAAAACATTGTGAAGACCGAGAGATTTTTCAGGACCATATTTTGGACGATAGTGACATGTCTGCTTCATCTTCTCTTTGACTATGGCTTCATCCATTGTGTGCTTCATGAGAGCAATTGCTTCACAGAATAGACTTTCTGCCAGCACAGATCAATCTTCCTCTTGTAGGTATCTCAGTTAGCATGCGGACCACCTATAGACAAATAAACATACAAATAATTTACCTTTTCCAACAGAATAACTCAACAGTCTTTAACTAACCTTTTGGTAATGGTGTCCTTTTGGGACCATAGGACACAGCCAGAAAAACGGTAATAGTGCTCCTGAAATAAAAACATAGTTTGACAACATGCCTGTGAATGACTCGGATACAAATGTTCAGAGGAGTTAAGTATCATACCAAGTTAGCTCTTTGGATCTGCCAAACAGAGATAACAAGGCAATAATTCCTCTGGCATATTCGTCTTTTACACGCCTTGAAGGACTTCTTTAAAATAATAGGTTATATTTTAGTTATGAAACAGTGAAACTTTCAAAATTTGCAATGTTTTACCATGTTCATTTGTCATATGCGCAACCAAAATGTTGACCATATCACGTCTCCTGCTGTCTGTAAGGCTTTTGAGCATAATCGCTTAAGATTCCATCTCCTCCTGGTTTGTTCTTTGGGATGCTCTCAATCTGGAAACATAAAACAAAGTGTTTACAATGGTAACGATAAAATAACTTAATCAGCTACATAGTGTGGTGCATATATATATAACCATCAAGCTCACATGTGAGAGACGAACCTCCTCAGTTCTATTGACTGAAGCAGGTCTAAACTGCTATGATCGCGTCCTCAGAGTCAACCTCGGTATCTCCACTTTGGGGAGCTCAACCCATCTGCAACATAAAGTCATAGTTGTCAAAATAAAAACCTTAATATATGAAAATACAGCATTAAATTAATTAATTATTTAAAAAACACACACCCTTTGGTGAACAAACATCTAGCACACCCAAACGCTCCTTCTTGAGGAGAAATTCAAATACTTCATCAACCTCAGTCTTCGTCTCATCATAGACTTTGAAAGTTGGAATATCCATTTATTTTGCAACTGCAAAAACAAATGTATGTTTATGATTGTTTACAAGTATCAAGGCATTTCAGAGTGGAGTACAATGTAATATTATCAAAGCATTTTACTTTATAATGCCCCTGAAGCTGAAGATAATTACATATTTCCCACTTACTACATTTTAAGAATAACGCAAAACAACGCTGCCCTTCATAGCAGATGTACTTCTGTGGATCGCTGCACATCACTTCAGCATTCATCTAAGGAGACATATAAAACAATTTTAGTACACACATGTGGTCACTGTTGTAACAGTAATAGTGTTTATGTGGCAAACATAGCAAAAACTGCATCCAAAGTCAACTACGCTGTCTGTAACAATGCTAACAACAATGCTAACAACAATGCTAACAACAAAACTACTCAAGTTAGTCACCTCCATGTGCTGCGCTGTCTGTAACAATGCTAACAACAAAACTACTCATGTCAGAGTCACCTCCATGTGCTGTGCTGTCTGTAACAATGCTAACAACAAAACTACTCATGTCAGAGTCACCTCCATGTGCTGCGCTGTCTGTAACAATGCTAACAACAAAACTACTCATGTCAGAGTCACCTCCATGTGCTGCGCTGTCTGTAACAATGCTAACAACAAAACTACTCATGTCAGAGTCACCTGCATGTGCTGTGCTGTCCGTAACAATGCTAACAACAAAACTACTCATGTCAGAGTCACCTCCATGTGCTGCGCTGTCTGTAACAATGCTAACAACAAAACTACTCATGTCAGAGTCACCTCCATGTGCTGCGCTGTCTGTAACAATGCTAACAACAAAACTACTCATGTCAGAGTCACCTCCATGTGCTGTGCTGTCTGTAACAATGCTAACAACAAAACTACTCATGTCAGAGTCACCTCCATGTGCTGCGCTGTCTGTAACAATGCTAACAACAAAACTACTCATGTCAGAGTCACCTCCATGTGCTGTGCTGTCTGTAACAATGCTAACAACAAAACTACTCATGTCAGAGTCACCTCCATGTGCTGTGCTGTCTGTAACAATGCTAACAACAAAACTACTCATGTCAGAGTCACCTCCATGTGCTGTGCTGTCTGTAACAATGCTAACAACAAAACTACTCATGTCAGAGTCACCTCCATGTGCTGTGCTGTCTGTAACAATGCTAACAACAATGCTAACGCGCCACCATAGCTCATGCCCAGTGTCAAATACTTGCCCATTCTAACCCATGAGAAACCATGCTAAAGCACCAAAGTAATACACGCGGTCGTCTGTCTACGTCACCGGAGCACAACAGGCGTTTTACAATAGAATGTATTCAGTGTATACAGATTGATTTGAATAAAGTAACACATACACACACTGAAAAATAGCTCAAAGAATGTGTTGCAGTGACGCAAAATTTGATTAACTAATTAACATAATTTTAACAAATTCTACATTTTGAATGTATATTAATCCATTACTAATAAACTCTGTACAACTCCAACCACATATGATTGCCAGAAGATGTAACACTATATCAGTATTTGTAACTTGTAACAGCACTAAGCTAGCAGCTTTCACAAGACACAACTGTGTTCCAAATGTACACCGCGATAACAACATGGACTAAATGAAACTGAAAAAAGTGACAAACTTTAAATACGCATTTAGACTCACCTTGTATCCTTTTGACTATCCATGACGTAGAAAGAAATGAGTACATCCATGGTTTCCACACTCCGTCTGCTAGTGTCCAGCGATAAACTGTCATGGCGGCGGTTCAGAAGCTCAAGACCTGAGTTTTGGGGGCGGGACATAGGGCGGGGCCTCATTTACTCCAATCGAGGAGATTCTGATCATCTCTGAAAAATCACTCGCACTCTAGAGGCCGCTAGAGGTTATTTTACTCTAAAATGTTTAAAAAGAACTCAATTGGAGGAAAAAAATAATGACTCTGGAAATTTTACTCAGCCGTTTTTGCTGTGTATCATCTCCTCTGCTTCTAAAAGCTATCATCTCCTCTGCTTCTAGCTATCGTCTCCTCTGCTTCTAAAAGCTATCATCTCCTTTGCTTCTAAAAGCTATCATCTCCTCTGCTTCTAAAAGCCATTCTTTGGGTGTCCTTGTGTTCCTCTGTGTCTTCCTCTCTGTCTTCCTCTGTGTCTCCCTCTCTGTCTTCCTCTGTGTCTCCCTCTCTGTCTTCCTCTGTGTCTCCCTCTCTGTCTTCCTCTGTGTCTCCCTCTCTGTCTTCCTCTGTGTCTCCCTCTCTGTCTTCCTCTGTGTCTTCCTCAGTGTCTTCCTCTGTGTCTTCCTCAGTGTCTTCCTTTGTGTCTCCCTCTGTGTCTTCCTTTGTGTCTCCCTCTGTGTCTTCCTCTGTGTCTTCCTCAGTGTCTTCCTCTGTGTCTCCCTCTGTGTCTTCCTCTGTGTCTTCCTCTGCTCCCTCAGATCCATTAAACATGAGGCTGTCTTTTGTAGAATCATTTATAATTGACTCATGAAGAGATGATTCTTGTGCCGGACACAAACCTCTGAAGATGATTCATGGAAACCCAAACAGCACATAGCACTTTGCAAATATACAGCGGAAGGACAACTCCCTGTCTCCCTCCCTCACCCCTGTCTCCCCCTCTGCAGGCTCTCTCTCCCTCCCTCACCCCTGTCTCCCCCTCTGCAGGCTCTCTCTCCCTCCCTCACCCCTGTCTCCCCCTCTGCAGGCTCTCTCTCTCTCACCTCTGTGTCTCCCCCTCTCCCCCCTCAGGTTCCCTCTCTCGGGGCGATGAGTATAAGTTGCACTGAGAGCCTCTGCCTCCCACTCTCACCCTCGCCTCTATCTCCCTCTCACCCTCGCCTCTATCTCCCTTCTCTCCTCCCTCTCCCCCTCAGGTTCTCTCTCGGGGCAGATGTGTTGCCAGAGTATAAGCTGCAGGTGCTGTCTCCCTCTCTCACCTCTCTCCCCCTTTCTCCCCCTCAGGTCCTCTCTCTCGGGGCGGATGTGTTGCCAGAGTATAAGTTGCAGGCCCCCAGGATCCACAAATGGACGGTGCTTCACTACAGTCCGTTCAAAGCCGTGTGGGACTGGCTCATCCTGCTGCTGGTCATCTACACCGCCATCCTCACGCCCTACTCTGCCGCCTTCCTGCTCAGTGACCATGTGAGCGACAACACAACTGACACACAACTGACACGCACCCACTACAACCATGGATCTATTAATACATGGACAGGGTGTTACTGGCCTATAGGGCGCCCGAGGTACTGCAGATTAAACTCATGTTACCCAGAAAAATGTCTCATAGAACTCAATGTAAACTAGAACAGCTTGACCTCACCTGACAGAGAACCTGACAGAGAACCTGACAGAGAACCTGACAGAGAACCTGACAGAGAACCTGACAGAGAACCTGACAGAGAACCTGACAGAGAACCTGACAGAGAACCTGACAGAGAACTTGACAGAGAAGATGTGGGATTTTAGTGTTGTAAGTTGTCCTGAACTTTTTTTCTTCGTATATACTTTGGTTTTCTTTAAGTCCACGTGTGTGTGTGTCTGTGTGTGTGTGTGTGTGTGTGTGTGCACTTGTTTTCAACTCCTGGTGGGTTCCATAACCTGAGATTCCACTCACGTCATGGGGACTGGTTTTACGTGGTGGGGCCCGAACACCGGACCCCACTGGTCCAAGCTTAATAATCAATGGGTAATGCTTTTCTAACGGTCCTTATGCAGTCTCTGTAAAAATATGGAAAGGACCCCTGGAGGTTTACTTTCCTGAAAAAAGTGTGTTATGTGTCGGAACCCTGGTGGTGGGTTGCGGGATATCAAGGAGGGGCACACTGGGGCAATTTCAGTCCAGCAGGCTGGAGCCAATCATGGAGCAGCACAACAGAGGAAATCAGGTGTCAGGCTAGAAAAAGGTGCAAGTGTGTGGTTCATTAGGCTGCAGCCAATCACAGAGCAGCACACTGAAGCGCACGCTTACAAACCACTGGTAAGTGCTGACTACAAGTCATGACTTCAAATTGTTATATAGAATGATTACAAATTATTTGTTGTTTGTGCAGCTTAGTCAAGAGTCCCTAATTGATGAAGTCGACTCAGATTCTGACGATTTAACTGTCAAGAAGAAACCTGTAAAAAAGTATGGAAAAAGAAAAATCAAAAACACTTTTCTTCAAGACTCGGAAAGTGACAAACCAAAGGCAAATAAGATTGTTATCATGCAGCTGCAAAAGAAGAAAAATGGGGGGCGAGTTTACAGCAAGAGACACTTCTGCCTCTACTGTTCAATGTCCTGCCACAAAATGTCCCGTCATTTGACTAGAAAACATGGAAATGAAAGTGACGTAGCCAGAGCATTGGCTCTACCTGTGAAATCTAAAGCACGTAAACTTCAGTTTGATTTGATCAGGAATAGTGGAAACCGTGAGCACAATTTTGAGGTTTTAAAGGCCGGCATTGGAACTTTAGTCCCAGCTAAACAGCCAAATTCCCCAGTTAAATCCAGTGAGTTTTTGCACTGTATAGACTGTGGGGCATTGCTTAAGCGAAAGTCGCTGTGGAGGCATGTGGCCAGGTGCCGGCTTTCACAGAAAGATGCCCAGGCTAAACCAGGCTAAACCAGGTAGAAGTAGGGTCCCGTCCCTCTGCTCCCTAGCCCAGCCTGTACCGGAGGGCATCAGCAAAAAGCTGTGGTCTTTAATTTGGGCAATGCATCAGGATGAGGTCACGGGTGTTGTCAAAGCAGAAAAGGGGATTCTGAGACTCGGAGAGCACCTGTACTTAAAACACGGGCATGATAAGACTAAGCATGATTACATTAGGCAGAAAATGAGAGAAGTCGGTAGGTTAATTAACGAAGCAAAAACCGCAGGGAAACTGAAAACAATTAAGGATTTCTTTATTCCTTCCAACTTTAACCATGTGATTGATGCAGTCAGGTCTGTGGCTGGATATGATGAGGAAACAAATCAATACAAGACTCCATCCTTGGCCCTCAAACTCGGCCATAGCCTCAGAAAGCTAGCAGATATTCTTGAATGTGACTCAAAAATGGAGCATTGTGTTGATGAACTATTTATTAAAAACCTCCAACGAAGCCGGCTGCTTTTTGAGAAGAGGTGGGACTTCTGTGTTTCTTCTGCTGCCCTACAGACCCTCCGGCAAGCCAAGTGGAACACTCCGGACCTGCTCCCTCTGACTGAGGACGTTAGAGCCATGCATGCACATATTGAGGTATGTCGACCTGAATATGTGCAAACCCTAATAAGTGAGCCAACGTCTAAGCATTGGTCTAAACTGGCAGTTTTGACTCTTTGTGAGGTCATCATTTTCAATCGAAGAAGGGAAGGTGAGGTTTCAAAGATGCCACTGACAGCCTTTACCTTAAGAAGTAAGACTGGGATCCATTCTGACATTGCTCTGGGACTGTCCCAACTTGAGAAAAAGCTGTGTCAGCATTTTCAACGCATTGAAATTAAAGGGAAAAGAAGTCGGAAAGTGCCGGTTCTTTTGACTCCTGAAATGATTGCTTCGATGGAGGTGCTGGTGGAGAACAGAAGGGCCTGTTCCATCTCTGACCATAACCCATACTTCTTTTCCCGCCCGGGCGCAGACACCCACATCAGGGGATCAGACTCCCTACGCCAGGTAGCCAAAGAATGTGGTGCGGTGCATCCAGAGATGCTATCCTCAACCAAACTTAGAAAGCACATAGCTACTATGTCTACAGTTCTCAATATGAAAGAGAATGAGATGGACATACTTGCCAACTTCCTCGGCCATGACATTCGCATCCACAGGCAATATTACAGACTACCAGAGGGGACACTGGAGCTGGCCAAAATCAGCAAAGTGTTGATGGCCATGGAGCAGGGAAGAGTGACGGAATTCGAAGGAAAGAGCCTCGACCAGATACAAATTGAGCCTGAAGGTAATTCTTGATAATATTAAAATATGT